CGAGGGTTGTCCAGAGCTGTGCAAATTCGTGGCTGTGCAATCAAAGATAGTAGCTGAATTCTTGAAAAGCACAACACGACGCAGCTAGTAGCAGCTCCATGTCAGCGTTGGATGTTGTTGTCTGTAATTTAAAGGGGAATCTTCTTTGCTTCCAGGGAGTCATGACTCAAAGCTGAGTTTGAAAATAGGGCTTCTTGTGGTTGCCTGATAGCGTGTATGCCCCATGTACAGAGGCTGTAGTCCTCATCGCTGCTGCCGTGGGTTTTGAATGCGACCTCGGCCCTTTGCTGCATGTTTCGTCCTCCACGTTCCCTGTCTCTCGTTAGCTGTCCTATCCATTAAAGACAAAAAGGCCCAAAATAATTCTGCATGGATTCAAGCTGGTGCTGCACTTTGTTGACTAAGGTCAAAAGTGTGACTGCAGAGAAGCCCTGGACTGTAAATGTTGAACCCTACAAATCTGAAATCATTATGATTTTAAACGTTTTAGAACGTTTTTGAAATGTACTTATCCTTCACCGTTCATTTCATTATTTTGTTTTATGTAATAAAGACGGGAAATAGTTGCATAAATAAAGTTCTGACACTCTTTTTTTAACATCTCCTCACAGGGAAGTTTCCGTCACGCTCAGACCGGTAACCTGGTGTCCCGCGAGGAGCTCATGATGGTCCTGGTCAGTCTGGAGTCTCTGCAGATCCGAGCGCTGCACTCCCAGTCCGCCCACTCCGTGTCGGTGCGCGGCGCCGTCCTCGAAGGAGCTGAGAGCCTGGATTCCGGTCGCCATGCCAACAACGTGGAGATCTGCATGTGTCCCGCCAACTACTTGGGCGACTCGTGTCAGGTGAGGGGACGGCGCTGGTGTGTTTGACGGACAGGTGGTCAAAATGGATTTACAGCTTGAGAGAGTTCAATAATTAAAATGTTTCTCCTCTCCTCCGTAAAGAAATGTGCTCCAGGTTACTACAGAGACACCATCGGCCTGTTTCTGGGGAAATGCGTCCCCTGTAACTGTAACGGACACTCTGACCGCTGTCTGGACGGATCAGGAATCTGTCTGGTGAGAATTACTGAATAAAAAAAATAATTTAAAAAAAATTCCCTTCCTTCTGGTCCTTGTTCTCCTGCTTATAAATGAGTCATTGTCTGCCTTTTTGTATTTGTCAGGATTGCCAACACAACACAGCAGGCGACCACTGTGAGGAGTGTCAGGGTGGATTCCTTGGTAACAACACTCTTGATGGACAGGCGGTGTCGTGCTCCAGTTGTCCCTGCCCCCTGAGGGTCCAGTCCAACAAGTCAGTGCATTTGTCTTTGTCTTTTTCTTCCTCCTTTTCCCTCTTTACTTTAAAGGTCACATCCTCCTCTTCTTCAGTGTAAATAATTCTCAGAGCTCCTCAAAACATGTGTGTGAAGTTTCTTGTTCTAAATCCACTCTGATCCTGTATTTGATCATGTCTATAAACCCCTCTATTTCAGCCCTGCTCAGAACAGGCTGTTTCTGTGTCTGTACCTTTAAATATGTAAATGAGCTGTTTCTGACCACGCCCCCTCTCTGGAAGGGCTTGGGTGTACTCGATGCTTTCTCGCTCCACGTCCTATTGTTTACGGTGAGAAGGCAGACTCAGAGGGCAGAACAAACACCTAGCTATGGGAGTGTCACCCACCTGGGGGAGGGGCTACTGCTCTTTGTGATGTCATAAAGGGAAAATCTCCAAACGGCCTGTTTGAGCACACATTTTCTGAAAAGTGGAGCAGGGAGAAGACGGAGAGGATGGACTTTTCTCATCATTGGGGGGTTTGTAGACGGACTAGGGACACATGTTAGAGGTAGAGGAACATGGGGAAGTGGATTTAGCAGAACATGACCTTTAATGATTCTCCTTTACCTTCAGTTTGTCATTAATAATTGAACCGTGTTTGTGATTCCTCCATGTTTTCTCTCTCTGTAGTTTTGCAGAAGGTTGTGTGCAGAAAACAGACAAGATGCAGTGTCTGTGTATGCCGGGTTATGCTGGACCCCACTGTGAAAGGTAACAGAAACTTCTCAAACACAGTTGAGGTTTGAGATTGGAAGAATTTCAAATATAAGTCAATCATAAATATGTTTGAGAATCATGAAGTTTTCTTGCATCTAAAAAAAAAAAAAAAAGTTTATGAAGTTGGTTAACATCCTTTGCAGGTGTGCCCCTGGTTACTACGGCAACCCCATGGTGCTGGGCAGCAGGTGCCAGCTGTGCCATTGCCACGGCAACACGGACACCAACATGCTGTTCACCGACTGTCACCCGCTGACCGGCGAGTGTCTGAGCTGCATGCACAACACGGCCGGGCCGCACTGCGACATGTGCGCTCCTGGTTACTACGGCGACGCCATCGATGCCAAGAACTGCACCAGTGAGTCCAGATTCATTTGAATCGTCTTTCTCAGCATGAGTTACATCTCCAGACGACAGAGTAATATTTCAGTTGTTTTGAATGATTTTCTTGTACCCAGAATGCAACTGTTCTCCATGTGGCACCGAGTCATGTGACCCTCACACTGGACAGTGTCGCTGTAAACCAGGAGTGACCGGACCGCATTGTGACCGCTGTGTGGTATGTTGTTTTCTCTCTTTTCTTATTTCTTTTTACTATTTGTATCTTCATTTTGGATTAGAAACCGCAAAATGAAACTAAAACAAAATTTAAATGTTGAGACAATAAAGCGAGCGGTCTGTGAGGGTGTCTTGTCTTTATTTTCTACTCCTCACACAAACTTTCAACCTCTGAGCAAGTATCCTCCTGATCTTTGACGTTTTAGCAAACGGACAAACTGAAATCTACTCCCTGTTTTTTTTTGTTTTTTTCTCTTAACTTTCCAGCTTCTTGTTGAACCCGTTGTGTTTTTCATTTTTTCTCAGGACGGCGCATTTGGCTTCGACTCGTGCTCTGGCTGCCGTCAGTGTGACTGTGAGGCCTCGGCGGCTCTCGTGCAGCCATGTGACCCTCGGAGCGGTCAGTGCGCCTGTCAGCCCGGAGTCAACGGGCCGAGCTGCAAACAGTGCGCTCCTGGACACTGGGACTACAGCCCGAACGGATGCAAGAGTGAGTAGATCCCGAGTCTCCGGCGCCCCCTGATCTCGTGGGTTGTGAGCTGAAAGTTTAGGAACCCCTCACTGGAGTAATAGTCCTGCGAGCAGCAGCTGTCGGACACAGCAGCAGCCTGGATATTCAAAGTTGTAGCATAAAAACAAATTTTTGTCTGCAATGATCAAATCTCATATTTATTACAGTTGCCTTTAATTAAACAGCTTTATTAAGATTTTAAACTTTTACTCTGCACTGTAATTATTATTATTTTTAACTCTTTTAATTTCTTTACTGATATTTATTTTATTTTTTAAATTTAAACTAAGTTCATTTTAATTTTTTTAATTTTTTAATTTAAATTAATTTCATTTGAATTATTATTTTTTTATTAAAATTAATTTCAATTGGATTATTTTTATTTGAACATATTTTCAGATTTAATCATTTCAGTGATTTTTTGTTTTTTATTTTAATGTTTCTTCCTCTGTCATGATGCTTTTTGATGTCTTGTGTGAATCACTTTGAATTGCCGTGTTGTTGAAATGTGCGACATAAATAAACTTGCCTTACCTTTATTTCCTGAATCTAAATGCAACACACTAATGAAATGAACCCACCTGATCACCTCTCCAGAGTGTGACTGCAGAGGAGGTCGCTGTGACCCGCGCTCCGGAGAGTGTCGCTGTCCCGACGGGATGACGGGGAAACAGTGCGACACCTGCTCGCAGAAATACAGCATCCCCATGGAGGAACATCACAGCATGCACTGCGAGCGTAAGTCACTCATTAATCACACGTGACGGCAACAATTCAATAAAGTCTGAGTGTCTCATTTGTTGTTGTTGTTGTTGTTGTTTTCTGCAGTGTGCGACAGCTGCGTCATCGTCCTGTTGGAGGATCTGGACAAGATGAACGATAACTTCCGCTCAGTCGCCGGGCAGCTTAGCAAGCTGAACGCCAGCTCCATGGCCTGGGCCCAGCTCAACAACGTCAACAAGTCTATAGAGGACATTGCTGTAAGAGCTCCAACACACACACATTGAAGTGATAGCCTGTAAGACTGCTGTACTGTTGACGTTCTGCAGGTAGTTATTTATGATTCATTCATTTCAACTCCAGCGTGCCATTGAGAACTACAACAGCACTCTGGATGAGAGCCGGAGTCGGGCCGACATGCTGGAGGCTGAAATCGTGAATATTAATGACGACATCAATGAACTGCAGGACAAGGTGAGATCACTGAACAAACACTCACACTCTCTTATCAAACATTTACACATTTTGACTTAAAGACATTTAAATTTGAGCCTAAAAAAAAACTTTTATGTTTTAAAAGATCAAAGTCAAATTTGGTTATATTATTAATAATTATATTTAATTATTTATTGATATAAATAACAATATCATTAAACTATGTTTAATGAACTCGGGGGGCACCACCCTGAAACCAGGGAAAAATAATCCTGTGATAATTTTTTTTTTATATATATATATATTTATTAAATACAGTTATTAATTATTAATAATATTAGAAATTAAGTAACTCATTTGAGACTTATTTTAGTGATATTTTGGTTATTTTTCCCTAATAATAATAATAAATTAGATTTATATAGCGCTTTTCTAAATGCTCAAAGATGCTTTGACAGGAAACAACAAAAAACTAAGCAAAAACTAAGATAACAATACAACATAGAAGTAGTGTCGAGGGAAGAGGATGAGAGTCAGTGGTTGTAGGCAGTGAATAATTAATGATTAATTCATGATATTGGTATTTATATTAATAATAATTAAATATAATTATTAAAGAATATAACCAAAGTTGACTTGATAAGACACCAACAAATAGTTAAAGACACTCGATAACATCCAAAAGGCCGGACTGAGTTTCCTCCAGAGGGTGTCTGGGCTCAGCCTTAAAGATAGGGGGCTGAGCTCAGACATTTGGGAGGAAGTCGGAGTAGAGCCGCTGCAGTTGAGGAGGTTTGGGCTTGAGATTAGGATAAGGTACTAATAACTATCAATGAGACTGGTTTAATGAAGAAGTGATAAAAAAAAGTGAAGGAAGAATCCCCAGTTGAACACAGATTCTTTATTCACCACAACAAACTGATGTAGATACTCTGTGATCATGCGGAGAGTGTTTTAAGGTTTTTGTGTTTGTTTTTTGTTTCAGGTTGCAGTGATGACCGACCGGGTTGGTGACGTGCAGGACAGTACCACAAACACACACCAGAGGGCGGAAGACCTGCTGTCCTTCATCAGCAACGTGACCATGGATATAAACGGTAGGACGGAGGAGTTCATCAGCATCATTCAGTGTGACGCTAAATATTTAGTTTAAATCAGTGAGTGTCTCTTTTTATTTTATTTTTTTTAGAATTTGTATTTTAATTTATTTTTCAAAACAAAAAACAAAACACTTGTACACCACTTATACAACATAAATCTACAAACTCATCACATTAGAGCAATGTACACTACAACCTACAATAATAGACAATAGACAATACGGTGGGGGGGGGGGGGGGGTGCAGTTCATTTACAGAAAATTCAATCATATCACCTATTTTCCAAGTATTTTCTGATTAAGTTCCAGGGTCCTTCATCTCCATGGTAGTGAGTGCATCTTAAACATTTGGAACATTTTTTTTTTTACATTTTTAATACATGCAGAGCAAACTATAAAGAATATTTTGGGACATAACTAAGAAAGAATCATTTTCAGAATACAGAAAAAATAACGTTTGGGAAAAAAAGAATGTCCTCCAACAATCAATGTTTTAGTTTACATCAGTTAAAAACATTGGAAACAATGCAGGCAGACTGACTGAATTTAAATGTCTTTATGATGCATTTTTCCTTTTTCACAGATGTCTTACTTCTGGCAAACCGGTCCTCTCTGAACGGCACGGAGGCAGAGCTGGAGGACGAGGAGAGGGAGAGGAAGATGAGGGAGGTGCAGGCCATGCTGAGAGAGATGAGGTACAGGAGCTGCGTGGGACAGAAGAAAGTGGCCGAGAGAGAGAGGACGGAGGCGGGGAAATGTGAGTATATTCACTCAGACAAATACACTTAGAAATAGATTCTGATGTGTAGCTGCTACTTCAGTAATCCTGAGTAAGAGCTCGTTTCTTACTGCATAAAAATACCGGGGCTACAAAGGGGGTCCAAAGGTTAAACTAAAGCCATTTTCAGACTCCTTTTTTTTTAGCAAAAGTGTTGTAACTAAACTCAACCTGTCATTACGTCTTTTTACATTTATATTGATTCTGCATCGGCATATTTTAGTGTCCCAGTCTGTGACCTCACATTGCAAAAAGTTCAAATATCGCAGCTTGAAAACTCGATTTTACTTCAACAATTTCCCCCTAAAAGAAATTCCAAAAACAATTCTTAAAATACTTTTTAAAATTCATCCTGTGTCTCTGCGTCTCCTCTCTCAGTGTTGGAGCGTGTGAACAAGGAGCTGGCCGATCGTCAGGGCGATAACGTCGACCTGGCCAAAGCGATCAGAGACCGCCTGGCCCGTTTCCACTCCGAGATGATGGACCTCCGAGACGCCCTGAACGAAGCCGTGAACGACACGGCCAAGGCGGCGGAGATCAACAACGCCAACGAGAAGACTCTGGAGGACAACAAGGTGGGGGGGGTGGCGTGGAGAAACAGCAGGAACGGTAAATCAGACATATTTCAGAGGTGATTCTGACTCTTTTCTGTCACTCGCAGAAAAGACTAGAAGACCTGATGTCGAAGCAGAAGGAGGTGAACGACCAGCTGAACATGGCCGAAGACGACGTCGCTCAGGTCAACGACATGCTGTCCACTCTGCAAGACTCCAAAGAGGTTAGTCCCACTAAGACGTGCAGCAGGAGAAGACTTGTACCGTTTGTTTTTTCTTTGACACTTCAAACGTCTCTCTCAGGAGTACGAGCGGCTGGCGGCTCAGCTGGACGGCGCCAGATCCCCGTTGGCGGAGAAAGTGCAGGAGTTTGCCTGGACGGACTCTAAGATCCCCCTGGTGGAGGAAGCAGAGAGGCACGCCGAGATGCTGAACGCCTTAGCAATGAACCTGTCCAGGTAAGGGACCAACCAGTTAGCTTACTTCACTACGAGGATGAAGATCGAGCTTCTTAAAAATGAACGCTGTTGTCTTTGTTTGTCTTCAGTTTGATTGAGGAGAATAAGAACGAAGGATTTGTGGACGTAACAAAAGCCTACAACAAGATCATCAACAGCATCAAGGAGGCGGAGGAGGCTGCCAAGATGGCTGCCAAGGCTGTCAACGACACTGTGGAGGTAAAAAAAAACAAAAAAAACAACAACAACCACACATGCATATTTGCAGAAATAGAAAAGAAAAGTCTTTACGGCTGCAATTTGTAGAATTTCATTTAGAATTTTTACAGTAAAATATCGTAGCAGAGAGATTCCCCGCCAGCCTCGACGTCATCTGTTTGTATTTGTTTTAATTGAGAATCCCCCTGGTGGTGGAATTCACACACTGTGCGTTTTAAATGATGAGCTTGTTTGTGTATTTTGTTGTAATATTTTTGTGTGTGTGTGTGTGTGTGTGTGTGTGTGTCCAGAACATTAAAGGTCAGGATCTCGGTCAGATCGCCAGTTCTCTGAAGAATCACAGTTTGGATCTGAAGGACGAAGTCGAGAAGCTGAGTGATGATCTGAACAACGGTAAACACACATCCCATAAATCATTTGAATGAATTCTGTATTTTGGACGTTTGAAGAGTTGAACTTTAATGTTTGTCGTCGTGCTGCACAGACCTGAAGCCCCAGCTGGAGGACGCTCAGAGGCGACTGGACGAGGCCAAAACCAAACAGGCCGATGTGATGAAAGACCTGGAGATGGTTCAAAACAACCTCAACTTCACCTCAAGTATGAACATTTACCACGAGCAAAAAAGAAATGATATCTTCCCTTCTTACAAATATTTACGATCATTTTTTACATTCCCCTTCTTCTCCTTTCTCTGTGACGATCAGACGTGAGTCAGGAGATCGCCGAGGTAAAACAAGCTGCAGATCTCGCAAACACCACGGCGACGCAAGTGAACGATGCCCTGCGTCCAATCAAAGAGCAGCTGGACAAATGGCAGCAGACCTACGGAGATGCCAACACAACCAACGATGACATCAACAACGCCCTGATGGAGGCCAACAAGACCGGTACCGACTTATCAATGCATCGTTGAATATTCCCTTCAGTTACCTCCAGTTTTCTGCTCGAGGAATCTGTTCTGTGGTATCCCGGTGAAACTAGTTCTGTTTTTAGTCAGACTAATCTTAATGTTTTCACTTCTCTCTTCATAGTTCAAGCTCTGGGTGATACCATCCCCTTGCTCATGAAGAAGCTGGATAAGCTGCAGAATCACTCGGCACAGATGCCGAACATCTCCGAGAACATCAACCGCATCCGACAGCTCATACAGCAGGCGCGCAACGCCGCCAGCAAGGTACAACCAACCTGACAGATACATAGAATAGAATAGAATAGAGCAGCCTTTCCCAAACTTGAAACTGCTGCAGCCCACTTTGATATACAAAATGACTCCGGGGCCCTTTATAAAATAAAAGTTTTGACTACAGCTATCACATTCAGTTAGGGTAAATTATTGGACATGACAAAAATGATATTATGGCAAGATAGACACCAATGTTTACTGAATATTATGTCCATGAATAGTCATGACACATCTTACTCATCACTTAAAGGGTTGACTCATTGTAAATCATCATTATTGTGATATTTATTTTATTTTTATACTTGGTGGAGGGCTTTTTGCGGCCCGCCTGCAGTACCTACATGGCCCACCAGGGGGCTGCGGCCCACACTTTGGGATGCACTGAAATAGATGTTTATTGCCATTTGCACAGGTACAGGACAGTGAGTGAGTCAGCTTCTTGAAAAAAGTTAAAATTATATATAAAATAGAATATCATTATAAGAAAAAAAGAGTAGAAAAGTACAAAAAAAAAAATAAGTTGTAGTAACAGTTGTAAGTAAAGTAAATTAAAATAAACTGTACAGAAGCTATACACTGTATTAAAGCAAAGATATAAAATAACAAAGGGGAACACTGAACAATGAAATTAAAATATAAATATGTTTTCTTGTTTCTATTTTCTACATCTCTTATTGCACCTGAGGTTATTGCACACATATTTTTCACATTATATAATTACACTGTTTTTTGTTTTTAAAGGCTGTCTATGTGATGTTTTGATCCAGCAGATGTCGCCCGTGAGCACCAGCATGAAACCAAAACAACTGGCGCTGTATTGTTGTGTTAGCATGCTAATGCTAGCGATCTTTATTATGCTGGTATCTTCACACTGCATGTTAATTTACCTGAAATGAGCGTGATCTAGAAACACAGTTAAGCAGTGAGTACAGTATGTTATTCTTCTTTTCTCTAGTCCCTCAATTAAACAACTTTTATACACGAGGGGAGGAGTCAGCCGGCCGTCCTGGCGATGTAAACAAAGTGAAGATAGGACTCTGAAAACTCTGAAAACATCACAGACAGTGGGACTCGGGTGTTGCACCCATTGTAGACAGTCATGACTCACAGAGTTATTTTCAGAGGAGATACTGGATTTATATTTAAGTGTGAAAAATCACATATGAAGACTTTAATGTTAATATTGCACTATGAGGTGCTCAGCTGTCCATTGAGTCTGTGAGGTGTGGGGTGAAGTACTTCCTTCCCATCTTAATGTCCTGTGCTACAAGTCTTACAGCAGAAGGGAAAAAGCTGTTGTGGTAGCGGGCCTAGACCATACATAGATACATAGATACGACTTCAAGACGTTTTCCTCCAGCAGCTTCTAATGTGTTTTTTTAATCCTGCTCTGTTTGTCCCCCTCTCACCTCCGTCCAGGTCGGCGTCCCGGTGAAGTTCAACGGGAAGTCCGGCGTTCAGGTGCGTACTCCTCCTAACCTGGCCGACCTCGCCGCCTACACCTCCCTGAAGTTCTACATCACTCTGCCGGAGGCAACGCGAGGCAGACGGCAGGACAACGGCAACCGGCAGTTTGTCTTCTACCTCGGCAACAAGGATGTAAGCATCGCCACGGCAACAAAAAGAAGCACAACTCTAGTCCAGATCCTTGGCAAGGATTTTTGAGGGGATTTGCAGCGAGGAGTTTTTTTTTTTTTGTAGTTCATTCATTACTATCTTTGTGGTATTTGTAGTCCACTAAGGAGTTCCTGGGCATGGCGTTGGTCGGGAAGAGACTGCGCTGGTACTTCAACGTCGGAGGAGAAACGGCTGAGGTGATGATGAATGAGGACGTCGAGTCGAAAGGAAACTTCAACAGCGTTGTGCTGGAGAGGTGAGGAACACACACACACACACACACACACACACACACACACACACACACACATACAATCAGATTTTAAAAACAGTGTGTCATCTCTGTACTCTGCTGTCCATTTCTGTACGTCTAATTTCTGTCTTTGTTCTCTGACTGCAGGATCCTTCAGTACGGCCAGATGTCGATGTCTTCAGAGGCCTCGGAGGGCGATCAGAGAGTCACCAAAGCGAACGTGGAGGCCGCGGGAGATCAGGGTCTGCTCAACCTTTTGACCGACGACACCGTCTTCTATGTGGGAGGATACCCGAGTACTTTTAAAGTGAGTAAACAGAGTGCGTCTCAGGCATGTAGGAAAGTTGATTAAAGCTTTTCAAAATGCTGCTCTGTAATCTCAATGTTTTTTTGGGGGGGGCATGGCATCATATTTGGATTTTCCAAAGTTTTAGAGTCAGGGTTGTCATGACGATTTGACTGACTGTGTGAACTGTAAATCTTCATTTCAGAGCAGTATTGATGTTTTAAAAAAATATTCAAATTCAGCTACTGAGCGTTTTTGTCTTTGTCCTTTTTTTTTTTTTTTTTACAGCCTCCCGCCCCGCTCGCTCTCCCGCACTTTAAGGGCTGCATGGAGCTCGACACGCTGAACGAGGTCGTCCTCAGTCTGTACAACTTTGAAAACGTCTTCCAACTCAACACCACGGAGGAGAAACCATGTGGCAGGTCAGAGCGCTACACAGACAGTCTTTAAACATCATGATTCATCTTCCTGTTGTGACTGACCTCACTCTCATCTTCCTCCTCTTTTTAATAATGGAATTGAAATCACCAAACACAGGTCGAAGCCGGTGCTGAGTCAGGCCTGGGTGAACGACGCGTCGTATTTCGATGGGACCGGCTTCGCTGAGATCAAGTTCTCCGATCAATCCACTCGCATTAAGCGATTCGAACAGGAAGTGAAACTGCTGTCGCACAACGGCATCCTGCTGCTGTTTCAACACGGGGTAATGACCATAATTATGAGAAGATTTTCAACATCGTCGTTTGGTTACTCATTCATCTCATTATTGTTGCTCCATGAAATCAAAAAGCAAAACTCACTTTGTTAGTGACCTGACCAAGAGGTCAGCAGCACACATCATACAGTTGATGATGGAGGACTGATAATAAAGTACAGGAGTAAAACTTCAGGTGACAGCTAAGAGGCTGCAGAGAAAAAACAGAAAAGTCAGCACGCTCGATGTCTTTCAAAGTATGTATCGTCTGGGTAGAGCAGCAGACTACACCATGAATTTATTTCCTACAAAGATTTTGAAGCACTCCTTCATGGATTCATCGTGGAAGATCTGAATTTTTCCAACACATAATCATGCAGAGCTTTTCGTAAAGTTTTACATGCAACAAGAAGAATTCTGAATTCTGAAATTATCAAGTTTCACCAAAAAGCTTTTTTACAAACTTTATTAATCGCTGAGGGAAATTCTGTTTTTACACTCTGTTATTTTAGAGACATGCTTCACTCACACATGCATTAGTGGAGAGATATCAGAGAGGTGCTGCTACACAGGGAGCGCACCTGAGCAGTTGGGGGTTCAGTGCCTTGCTCAAGGGCGCCTTGACAGTACTCAGGAAGTGCCCTGGCACCTCGCCCGCTACCAGACCAACTTCCATAGTATTGATCCCTCTGGTTCCCAAACCAAGTCCCTACAGTCTGAGCTGCTGCCGCCCCCCTCTCATGCATCGTTCCTGCAGTCTGTCTTTAAGTTTTCCCGGCTCTTATTCCTCCATGCATACTTGATTTTTTCATCATCATCTTTCACCGATATTGAATAATTTATTCCATTTTTGTTTGTGTGTGTAACTTTTCTGTAAATTTCTAAAAAGAGTTCTTTGTGTTTTGTGTCATTTTGCAGCATGAACCTTTTTGTATTTCATCGGAGCCTAACTGATGAATAGTTCAGATGTGTGTTTTTAGTTATTGGCAGTGACTGTGTGGTTGTTACAGTTCTCCATGTCTCTCTCCTCCATCAGGATCAGTTCCTGTGTCTGGCGGTGCTTCAGGGCCGACTGAAGGTTTACTATGATTTCAGCGGGGGTCTGATGGAGCTCGAGCCCAAAGAGCCTGAATCGGAATTCTTGAGGATTAGCGATGCTGACCCCAAAGCTGTAAGCGTCTTTCTCTGTTTTTTTTACTTTATGTTTTATGATTCAGTCATAGAAAAAGAGGTTCTAAGGCCCCGTGTCCACCTAGGGTTTTTTCTTTTGAGTGCCAGAGTCTTTTTAACAATCTCAAATATAAAACATGCAGTAAAAAAGTAACGGAGCAGTGTCGGTCATACAGCAGCCGTTGTCATAGAAACAGGACGGACTTGCAGTGCTTTTCTTCTCAGCGCACAGCCAGCGCTAGATGGACACGAGGCCTAAGGTAGCATAAGGGTTGAAAACTAAGTAGAGAGGACGTTTTTCTTTTCAAAACAGCTTTCTTTCCCAACTTGAGTAAAAATCATTTGCACTGAAAACTGAAAGTCTTCTCTCTTGTTTTTAACCCTGCAGCTGGGGATCATCATCATGGACTCGCGTCTTGTGGTGAGAAACAGCCGCAACACCCTCTACTCCCACCAGTTCACAGATAACATCCCCCCCTTCGTCAGCATGTACTACCTGGGAGGAGTCCCTGAGAACAAAATGCCCAAGCAGTGAGTATCAACCCCCACACACATCCCCAATGATATCGACCCACTGGGAGAGTAATGGTAACGTTGGTGATGCTGTACGTTCCCTTCTTGATGATATCTGTTTCCTCCTGTCTCTGTCTCTCTGCAGGTTGAAATCTCTGTTCCCTAAGCAGGGCTCTCTGAAGGGCTGTTTCAGGAACGTGAAGGCCCTGAGCTCCCACATCGACCTGAAGAGGATGACCAGCTCTGGAGTCAGTTTTGGCTGTGACAGCGACCTGCTGGTAAGAAAAAAAACAAAAACATGTTAATTACAAGGTATTCAGTGTTGTGTTATACACTTAGAAACAAAACTGATAAGAATTCAAAAGAGAAATGAGAAGTTATTTATTTGAACATTTTAAGGTGAGAAAGACAATATGGAGGTTTGTAACGTCAGAGTGATTGGGTGGGATAGGTCAGGGGTTACCGCTGCCCTTTAAATAAGGTGTTAGAGACTGAGGACCCCTACTGTCCCTGGAGGTGGTTAAAATATTTCACATTTGTATATACTTTAAGAATGATATGTCATTTTAAGTCATTTTTCATTTTGATATGTTTTCGGGTGGAATCTTGCAACCACTCTCAGTGTCCTGCGACCACCCAGGGGGTCCTGACCCCCACTTTGGGAACCAAAACCAAACCAAATAAATACTTTTTCCATTTCCCATCTGCACAGCTGTCCCAAGAGTCAGCCTCTCGTTGGACACTTTAATGCTAACCTCAATTATTATTATAAATTTAAATCGCACCTTTAATGTTTGCACTGACTGTTATTTAATGTCAGTTTTTTGATAATTTTCTTCTTTTTAAAATTGCTAAAAATTTTGATTCATCTAGGGGTATTCTTTAAATCTTTTTTTGGGTTAATATATATGTATGGGAAGGGTGCGTCGGTTTTGTGGTTAGTTTGTAACAAATGTTTCATGTCATATCTTTGTAACCTGCTACTGGATGCTTTGAATTTCCCTCTGCATCAATAAAGTATCTATCGATCTATCTATCTACCACTGGTATAGATAACCACATCATCTGCATACAGTTCAATCTGAACCGACTGAACATGGCTTCCGTTGGTGTTTCTGAACCGGCCTACAGATCATATTCGTCCTTGTGGTTTCTTGACATTTACCTTCTTTATTTCTTTATTTCTTAAGGAGATTTTAAATTTAAAACAGTATTTTAAAAAGTTTTACTGAGTACAGACTGGGAGATGTAAACTACTGATTTATCCGTCACTACTCTTAAGATGCGACATCTGAGGAGCGATTCCTCTCGTTCAAACTGTGTCGATAATGTGAAGCAGCTGCTCCTCCTCTCAACATCTTTGATTTATATTTGCTCTCACAAAAAAAGTTTCCTAATCTCACTTAAAATGAAATCCATAAACCTTCCAAATAATCCAATCCAGATAATTAAATGACATGCTTGTGTCACACAGTCAAAAGTTAAAACATCTGGTTCCTCAGACATTAAAAACACATCGTGCAGATTTTTCCTTTAATTCTGCTTCTCTGCATGAACAGAATAGATGCACATACTCCTGCAGTGTCTTGACCCGCTGTGTTGGTTTTCCTGCAGTTGGCTCGTGAGGCTCACTTCTCGGGACAGAGCTACCTGGACTTGGGTCTGACGGACGTCCCCAGCCTCAGAGACAACTTCTACGCCAGCTTCAGCTTCAGGACGGAGAAGAAAGAGGGACTCATGTTCTACCACCAGGATAAGGTCTGAGAAGACTCCCTGCTCTGCTCTGCTTTGTTTCTTTCATGCTGTGTAGTATTTTTACAGACTTTCTGGATATCACGCTTACACACAAAGCTTTGTCTGTTTTTTTTGTGTGTGTAGGGTGGTGTGTGTCAGGTGTTTTTGCACGAGGGCCACGTCGTTGTGAGAGTTGGAAACAGTGAGATTAAGACTCAGAAAACGTACAACGACGACAACAGCCATTACGTCTCCATTTACAACGACATCAACGGGTAGGACGGCACAAAGTCTTCTTTCCAAAAGCTTCTGATTGATAACCAAACATATTGTTGAAAAAGGACCACCCTCTTAATGTGTTTCCTTAAACTGCACCCTCGCCCCCTCAGGATGCGTCTGTACATGGACGACGTGCTAGAAAAAGCCAAGGTGGGACTCCGGATAGACAGCCGAGTGGTGACGACCTCACCGGAAGGAACCTTCCTGGGAGGAATGCCCGACCAGGGTCTCACTAATCTCACCGGATGTATCAGCAACGTTTTCGTCAAGAGGTGAAGAGAACTTTAGTTAGTGATGAAACAGACTGGAGATCATTTTCTGTCTCGGGGGTTAAAGGAGCTGTATGTAACTCTGACACCTGGTGTTTAAAATGGGTACTGCAGTCTAAATTTACATGCTGATGTGTTGAGTGTATTAAATGTTTAAAATGTGTGTTTTTTTTTTCTTTCAGGGAAACGAGTTCTCAGATGGTTTTGAACCTGCTGAAAACGAAAGAAAACGTCAACGTTCCTCTGGACTGTCCCGCTGCGAAGAAACCGCAACAGATCGTCTCTGCTCAGCCCAAACACAGCAGCAAACAAAAGGTACGCACACACTCACACACACACACACACACACACACACACACACACACACACACACACACACACACACACACACTAGGCAGTTTGAACTTTTCCTCCACATAAAAACACAACACACAAAAAAGCAAGTTCACAAGTGAACCTCTTTACCCGCTAACAAACTCAAATCCTTGTCCTCTATCTCAGGGGAAGAACAAGAAGCCGTCGGGGTCTCGCAGTCGGAACACCAGGGACTCCTGTCAGGGCGGGCCGTCGGATCAGGAGGCCGGAGCGTCGCACTTCAGCGGCTCCACACACAGCTACCAGAGATACGACTCTCTGCCCGCCTCACTCAGCTCACTGTGAGTCGGATTCTGAAACCATTTAGTTTAATGTAGTTTATCTGTTTCCTTAAAGGGATACTTCACCTGTTGAAACATGAGTCTGTGTTGACGTTGGGTTATATATGTAGAAATGTGAAATACATTTTGAAGTTGGTGCCTTCTTGGCCGAGAAAGGGCAGAAAGTGTCTTTTTGGCTCATGTGGATGAAAGACACCAAATCCCAGAATGCACAGCATCGCAGGCCACTCCCACTAAGGTCCTCTGGTTCAGAATCAGAAATACTTTATTAATCCCAGAGGGAAATTCAATCGTTACAGTTTCTACAAAATAAACAGTATAGCAGTAGAAATATAGAAATAAAAACATTTACAGACATATTTACTGTGACGCAAAATGACGATTTATGCGTCACTGGAAGCTCCTTTTCAGACTTAGAAATACAAAGATTTCACATCTCAGGGGAAAATGAGGGCGGGATGCACGACCATTCAAAAATACTACCAGGTTTCTAATGAGACAAAGATTAATGCAAATGGGTGAAGTATCCCTTTAAAGGATACAAACATGCATAATATGGAAGCATGTGTGATAAATGGCTCCCATTAAAACCACTTTAAAAAACATATAAAAGGATAAACAAAGATCCAAAAGCAGCAAAACAAAGTCAGTATCAATGATAAAAGGTTAAAATATACTTCATCATTTTAATGTTTGTTGATCAGTTTTGTTTGTGCTGAAAAGTCTGAAATGCTGAATTTTGTCAGAGATGAATCTTTGTGTTTTGGAGAGGTTGTAAATGTTTGTAACATCAACATGTACCCGCTCGTCCTCCTCCCTGCAGACCTCACATCTCCATGGCTCTGAGGATAAACTCCTCTGACGGTTTGGTGCTCTACGCGGCTAACGGTCAGAGGGGCGGGGCTGTGATGTCACTCGGCGTGTCAGAGGGTCACCTGCTGCTCCTGTTGGACGGAGGGAAGAGAAAGGTCAGCCTGCGGAGCCGCAAGAAGTACAACGACGGCCAGTGGCACACGGTGAGGTCGCACACCAGGGCGCTACACAGGAAGTGAATGTCTATGTAACATTAGGATGGTGTGTTCAAAACCGACCGCTTTGTGTGTCACTTCAGGTGTTTGTGAAGCGTGAAGGAGAGAAGGTCAGTCTGATCGTGGACGGTATCAGCGCTCAGTCCAAGAGAATCCCCGGAGGAGAGAAGACTCGTCTCACCGGGCCGTTATACATCGGAGGAGTGCCGCCATCTCTGACGGTAAAAAACATCAAAGTATTTTTATATCACTGCATGTTTTTACAGCTTTCTACTGTAAGTCTTTAACAGACTTTTCTTGACTGTAGTTCTTTGAGCAGCATCATGAAGAATTCAAAATCTACCCGTGACACTAAAACCAATCAAGTGTTAGGAAAATCAAGTATATGGAAGTTAGTTAGCATTCATTTTTTCTCAAAACAGGTTTCCTTTGACAGTTTTACTTTCCTACTTAAAGGAGCAGTATGTAACTCTCTGACCCCTAGTGTTTAAAATGGGTACTGCAGTGCAAATCAAAACATTGTAGAGAGCTGTCCCCCCCCCATCCTCTCTAGAGTGGCTGCTCACTCAGGTCACCATGTGGTGGACACTGAAGCTTCAGTGTTTATCCAGCTCTGCATGGGTCTGTAAACCTTTCTGTGTTCTAACCTCTCTCCATTTTTCAAAAGCATCTCCAATATTGATCGATATAGAAATTTTCATTTCTTCTTAACAACTTATTAAGAGCTACAAAATCAAGAAACAAGTCTTAAAAATATCCAGATGTTACATCCTGTTCACTGACACACTGAGTACAAACGGAGCCTTAATTAAACAACCATTCTCCTCTTCTTCATGTTTTTCAATCCGTTCTTATAAATCACAGGCTCCGGGCTCTGGTGGTTTCGTTGGATGTGTCAAAGACCTGTCGCTGAACGAGGCCCCTGCAGGAAACCCCGTTCACAGCCAGGGGACGGTGCCCTGCTTCCAGCGCCCTCTGCAGGCCGGAGCGTACTTTTCCGGAGAGGGAGGACACGTCACTATAGGTAGTTATGGTCACTTCTTCTTCTGTGGGTTTTTTTATCCTCTTTGAGGCCTGTTGTGTCCTGACTGAAGGCTCTCCTCCTCCTCCCCTGCAGATGAGTCCTTGGTTCTGGGTCGGGATCTTGAAATCCAGCTTGAGGTTCGGCCCATCTCGGACTCTGGGCTGCTGTTGCATGCTGGGATATCACCTGATCAACACCTGAGTATCGTCCTCAACCAGGGAGAGGTGAGAGCGTGCAACCAACTACAGACATTTTTATCAAACTGTAAATGAAATACAAGAAAACCTTGGCAGGAAATATTAGAAGTTAAGCCGACTAACTGTGTGTGTGTGTGTGTGTGTGTGTGTGTGTGTGTGTGTGTGTGTGTGTGTGTGTGTGTGTGTGTGTGTGCAGGTGACAGTTTCAGTAAACACTGGTAAAGGTGAATTCTCTACCTCCTTCACTCCTGAAGAACCTCTTTGTAACGGACACTGGCACACCATCACAGGTGAGTTCAAGTCAACAAACTCTTCTACAGTTTTTATTCATCATAGTTACATGGAGATAAAAAATGTGTGTGTGTGTGTGTGTGTGTGTGTGTGTGTGTGTGTGTGTGTGTGTGTGTGTGTGTCTACAGTGGTGAAGAAGAACAACGTCCTGCAGCTCCACGTCGATGCGGCCAGCGAGCACAGCGTCGGGCCCAAACAGAGCCGCTCTGCAGGCGCCAAAGAGGCCGTTTACCTGGGAGGGGTACCAGGTGAGTGCGCACACATTCTGATTCCTACTTTACCTGTTTTTGAGAACATTTTGCAACAGTATAAAAACTAAAAGAAGCAGGAAGTCATCATATTTAAGAGTTATTATCGGATATTTGTAGACTAAGCACAAACTTTCTCAATGTTGATGCTCCCTAAAAAATGCTTCTTCTTTAAAACTCTCGTAATCTGAACCTTTAACAGACGGCTTAAAGATTTGACTGACAAGGTAACCATGCTTCTCTACCATGAGGAAGTAAAAACACATTCAAACAGATACAAGTGCCTGATTTAGTTTGTTAGTTCTTATTGTTGATATTTCTTATTTTATCCCTCTGTAATGTAATTTTAGGAACGACCGTACGCCTGACTTGCCCCTAGGGATTCATAAAGTTTTTCTGATTTTGAATCTGAACTCGGGTCGGTCTCTACCCGTCTGTAAAATGTTGTTTCTCCTTTTGTCCACCAGATGGCGTCCCAGTTCCCGGTCTGCCTGCCGACCTGCCCACCTTCCACGGCTGCATCCGCACGGCGAGCATCAACCACAGACCTGCCATGTTGTCCAAGCCGCTCTCTGTGCACGGAGCTGTGGGAACACAGGGCTGCCCGCATATGTAACACACACACACACTGGTGCACAGTCTTACCCTCACATTCCTACAAATCACTTGGTGGTGGGTGTCACGTTACTGTAGCTAATTTAAAAAATATATTAATATTTATTTTCTATTTTCAGAAAATGTATATTTTATATTTTCCTGTTTGTCGTCGCTCTCGTACTGGTTTTGTTTTTTTGTGCTGCGGCAGTGACTGCACTCGGAGATGCACTGAAACAAACACACATGATGTCATAAATCACGTTTAACATATGTAGTATATTGTAAATAAAGACAACTCGGATCGACTCTCTTTATTCATAAATAAATGATGTGGATCATTTTGAAAACTGCAATATTCCTTTTTTTTTTAAATGTGTTTCTCTTTTTACTTGCATCTCTAGCAGACGACGTTAAGTTTTCCTACTGAGTCGGTACACTGTGAACACTGTGAGCAAAAAAAAAAAAAAAGTCCTCAGGCAGCACAGATGGGAGACGTTTCCTGAAACCGGGACGAGGACGGGGTATCTGGAGAGTTATCACAGTTAATTAAGTCTCCGATCCACAAAGATGTGGAAATGTAGCGCACACTCAAGTCCTGTTCATATTCAGACTATCCTGCTACTAAACACATTTTTTGTGATATCTATGGTCCTGGTCTTGGTCTTGGTCTTGTCTCGGTCTCTGAGCACTCTGTTCCCGGGTATGTCCTGGTCTCACTTAGTCTGGTCTTGACTATAACACTATCGTACGTTATCTTTTCCAAAAAAGCAGTGATTTAGAATTAATTTATTAAACCTTTTTTTAATATATTTGATCTGCTACAGACTTTCACTCCTCAAATGTTGCTCATTTTAATCCAACAGGATGAAACAGTGAGGTTTTTAAAAGAGTTACCCGTGTACAGTGACCTTTATTTTTTGTATTCTATCGTGAGATTTCTTAAAAAAACCAAAAAAAAACTGTTTAGTACATATTCTTATTTCACTCCCTACTTTTAATGTTTTTTTTTTTGTTTTTTTTAAATGGCCTTCGACTTGTGATGCCGCTTTCAGGTCAAGATGTTCACATCAAGACTTCAAGTCGATTGTTTGACGTGATTTAACCCAAAACATCAACTCTGTCGTTTAATCATCACATTATTTTAAACCCTGAAAAGATGTAAACACGACACTCACTTCAAGACGACCTGAAAAGCAGCTCCTCCTGTCCAGCTCTCGGGCAGCGTTTCCCATCTCCTCTACTCCGTCATAAATGTCAACATGTACCAAACATGAGTGTGAAGCTTGTATGTAATATGATATAACCACTCTTCAATATTTTCATGTCACAGAAAGAATAAGCTGTCTTCCCCCCGTCACCCCCCCCCCCCAATGTGTTGTGAATGTATTTCTAAATAAAGATTTTTTTTTTCATACAAATGTCTGCTTCAGTGTTTCTTACTTTTCTGTAAAATAAGACAGGAAGTGAGCTGGTTTGGTTCGCCACTGTGATGTTTTTTTTATTAAAGAGTAAATCACCTAAAAAATAGCCCGAAGGATTAAGCACTGTGGTGTGAGAACAGAAAGAAGTTAAGGCTCATCTCAGTCATACAACAACAAAGCAGAGCTGTTTGGTCAGCTGTCACAGTAAGAACAGCTCCGCTTGAACCCTGTGCTGTGTCGTCTTTGGTGCAGGAAAGTGAAAGACAACATTTAACAGAGATGGGGAAAGAAAAGGTACTAAAGTGAGGTTTAAAAAAAGGAATCACAGATGTGTTTTTTTTTCTGTTGAGGTTTGGCAGTTTGAGCTCTTAATCCAGACTCATGTCCTCGTCGTCCTCCTTCTTCTTCTCTTTGGAGTCTCCTTTGCTGCCCTGCATGGCTCTCGCAAATGCCTCCACATCTGACAGAGACACAAAGCATGTGTTAACAAACAGCAGAAGAGAGAAGGTACATCAGACATTAAGGAAACATGCTATGTTAACAATGCAGCAGCCAGTATGTCCTCCTCCTAACTTTAGATTCTGCTCCTGAATGCTCTGGATTTGTTTGGACCAGAGAAGGTAGACGGTTTTAAGACACATCCCACACGGCCGTTTTGGACGCCCCTCGGTTTGCCAGATATGAGAGCAGTTATCAGGTCAACAGGTGTTGCAGCGATGGAAGCGGTCAAGAGAAGTGGTTCAGATAGAAGTGATTGTACCCGACCTAAAAAGCCTCTGCATGTTTCTAATAAGCTCCACGAGCAGAAACGTGCTCAAACTAGGATCAATATTGGAGATGCTTTTGAAAAATGGAGAGAGGTTAGAACACAGAAAGGTTTACAGACCCATGCAGAGCTGGATAAACACTGCACCAAGTGAGGTTGAGCGAGCAAGATCAGTGTTTTCTGAATCAAACTTGACCGCTTTGTGGAAACAGAGCTTAGAAAACACACAAATAAAAGGTAAGATTCCTAAGTGTAATAGGTCTTTGTTTGGTTAGAGGAATACCCCTTTTGTGTTGTGTGCTTGTCTTTGTCTCTTACCTCCTTTGTTGGCAGCATCCACAGCGTCTGCCGGCAGACCAAACTGAGTCAAGAGAGGACCGAGCTGCCCGGAGGCCAAGGCACTGCTGAACATACTCATCGCCTGGAGGGAAGGAGGAATCAATCACAGTAACTGAAGTTTACTCAACACTGTTTGCAGGAAATAAACAAACATAAAACCTGATTTATTTAACACGGGTTATAAAAACTGTCACCAGATAACATTATATAACTCAGAAAATGTTTCAACACTTCAAACGCAGGCCTTTCTTGTTGATACTTTTTTGTCTTTTGGATAAAATTTTACCTCCACTTCAAGTCTAGGTCTAGAAAACAAAGCTTTTTAACAGTGCTCTTTGAAGTAGCGCGACTTTTTGGTTACCTGCTGGAACTGAGGAGAGTTGATGGTGTTCTTGATCTCGTCAGCACTCTGAGGTAAACTTTCTCCACTGGGGAGGAAAGGCAGCAGCCTCTTCTGGACCTCAGCGTTAGTCAGGATGGGAGCCATCATCTCCGGGGTGCAAACACTCGCCAGGTCCACTACAGAGCAGGAGAGGAGTCCCGTTAGTCATATTTTATGTAACACTGCTCGTTTCTGTCTCCTTTGTTGTCATTATTTTTAGCATGTTTCTCCTCTTGATATCAGACCTTTAACTGATGCTGCTGTTCAGTGCATCAAACCAGAAATAAACAAAAGATTTCTACTCAAAAGTAAACCATGCATCACTCACCTGCTGGTCCCTGAGCAGCTGAAGCCGGGACGTTCATGGTAGCTAGGATGCTCTGAAGGTCACTGAGCTGGATGGGCTGGTGGGAGGTAGGACTTCCCACAGAGGCTGGGACCACCGGAGTCTGAGCCGAGGCTAAGACAGATTGAAAATGAAATACATTTAATGAAAAAAGCGTTGATTTAACGTCAGCTTTACTTGATGTGTTTCCTGCTGAAGGACGATGTTGTTATGACGGCTTCAATGATAAATGTTTCTTACAATGTTTACCGCGGTTGTTTTAGTTTCTTTTACAATCATTGTGCGTGAAAACAGGAATTATTTCCAGACAGGTAATGAGGTGCTGTACTTTGTTTACCTGGTGTGGAGGGGGCCACAGTAGTGGGCGAGACAGCAGAGGCAGCAGGAGTCACAGGGGTGGTCGGGGCCTGAGTGGAGCTCAGTCTGGGGGCTCCGCCTGAGGACGGAGTGGCTGCTGTTGATTGGCTACGAGAGCTGAGAAAAGAGCGTTTATCATGTTAGTATTTAATATGCTTTATATCTGTGAAAAAACTGGTGATATGTGTGTTGTGTTCTCTGTCACCTGGAAGAGGAGCTGCTGGTGGCCGGTCCTCCGCTGCCCAGCAAGTTGGCGAGTCCTGGTCCTGCTAGAGCTCCCAGACCTCCTTAGACGAACAAAAACAGATCAGAAATGGTCCCAAATGACCTAAGACTCTCGTGTTTGAGCTCAATTTCACCTCATGGTGATATAAAAATACAGGCTAAATATCTAATAAATATTTAAAACCCTAAGAAGTTCAAATAAGCTGTCCGTAAACAAACATCCTCATGGACATTTCTGTGTTGAATGTCAGGAGTTAAACATGTCAAAGAAACATCTTGTGGGGTTCTCACCCAGTCCTCCCAGTCCCGTTGGTCCGATCAGCTGCATCAGCTGGTTATGGCTCATGTTTCCCAGCAGGTTCTGCAGACCTCCTTCTCCTCCGAGTGCAGAGAGTTCATGGCCGCTGCCGCCTCCGCTGCCCGGAGCTCCAGGGATCGGAGGATTGTTCAGAAACTCGTTCACCTTACGACAGTGCTCCTCGTCTTTGTCAGTCTTTGGCTCCTGTTTGGAAAAGCAACATTTCCTTTAAACAAAAGCTTAATACTTCACAAATAAAGGCTTTCCTGCTGTTTGGCAGAAATTGAACAGAATATCTGTAAACAATCATTTATGGCGCTTTAAAGATGTGGCAAATTAGAAAGAAAAAACTTCTTTAGGTTTACAATTTTAACTTCTTTTTCACTTTCAGACTAAATTTGTCAGCATCTAAGGACAATCCTTGAGCAAATAAATAAATTGTATTTTATATGTTGAAGTTCTATGACATTATGTAGGCTGTAAAACTGTTCTAATACAATTAATTCCTCTAGACTGGGGGAGATGTAAAAGGCATAAATGTTAAATGCTTATCTGCCTGACAAGCACACAGCCATGCAAATCCTGTCATCAGGAGTATGATTACATCATTCCCTCTACTCAGTTTCCCTTAATTTAGCATCCATCTGCCTGCACACAAATGACAACGGATGTCACGCATTCACGAGTGAAGTCCACCATCTTCCACTCACCTGCATCCAGAAGAACAGTCTTTTGGACCCGGCCTTGAACTTCAGCACGTAAACACGTCCGGTGGTGCACTGGTTCACCCGCTTGAATTCACAATCATCGGGGAAGATAATCAGGTCCTAAAAGAGTGAAGGGCACAACATGAGACATTCAGACACACAGAGGAGAGGGGGGGGGGGATGGATGAGACTTCACTGCCACAACAAATCATCATCAAACAATTACTGACAGGAGGAACCAAGTGGGCAACACCAGTCTCCTTGCTGGCTCTATGGAAGCCAGGCTAAATAAGGATTTGATGTATCAGCATTGCTTGGATGAAAACTGTTTGTATGCATCGAGAAAAAGACGGAGTATTTTTTTTCTGAGTGCAGGACTTGTGCCTCTGCCCTGGTTTTACTGGTGGTATTTGTGGAATGTGCAACATGTCTAAAGATAGCAACAACTTCTGTCACACGGAGTTTTAAACGTAGTGTGATCAGACCAGCTGTCACAGTCTCCGCTGATTTTCTCCATGGGACACAGAAGATACTGAAGGTCTGACATTCACACATACAGCTCCTGGAAATATCAGGAGTTGTCTGCAAGTGTGAAAGCCCCAAATGTTTGAATTGGTTGATGCTTATAATACAAATGTTTCTCTTTTTAACCTTTTTTGCTTTGCTAAAGCGTTAACAGATGAGATGATGGGATGCTCCCTGGCTGAACCAAAACCCTCAGCACAGAGACCCTCAGCCAGCGATTGGAAATCATAATTTGTTCAAATGTGTGGGGTCTCCTCAATTAGGACCCCTTGCTTAAAAACACATAAATAGCTTTGCATTAAGGCAAGAGATGCTACTTACATCATCAACGTTCCCAGACGTCCTGTCCTTCCAGCAGAAGTGAATCAGGGAGTCGTCCGACTGCTGGATGTACACCGAGCCCTTCCTTTTGTCCGGCGTCACTACATTCCCCTTCAGGGTCATTTTACCCGCACGAAACTCGACCAGGTACTTGCTGGAGCTTCCCCTGGAGCCGCTCACCAAGCTTGGAAAGAGAGCGCCTGACGACATCTTTAGATCTCTTTGTGAACTGAAAGAGAAAAAAAGGATGAAAACTCTGCAAGACTGTTCAAGCGTTTTTCAGTGACAAGAATATAAGAAGCTATAAATTGGTATATAAATGGCAGTGGGGGGGGGGGCAGTTTAAGATGTCTTAAATTTGGGGTGGCAGTAGCTCAGTCTGTAGGGACTTGGGTTGGGAACTGGGTTGGGAACTGGAGGATCGCTGGTTCAAGTCCCAATGCGGACCAAATATGGAAGTTGGTCTGGTAGATCACTTCCTGAACACTGCCAAACCCCCTCCCTGATTTAAATCGGTTATTATCAGGTAATCTGGGCAGAGAGAATAAATAGACTGTATAAAACAATATAACCGTTATATCCTGAGAGTTTACTTTTTCTTTACATTTTATTTTATTTACCATTTTGTTTTGTACCTTTTGCACTATTTAGAATTTATTACTGTAAATATTATTTATCTTAGTTTACCTTATTTTATTTTATCTAGTTTACCTAATTTCATTTTATCTAGTTTACCTTATTTTATTCAATTTTATCTTACCTTATTTTATCTATTTTACCTTATTTTATTCATCTTATTTTACCTTATTTTATCGTATTTTATTTATCTTATTTTATCGTATTTTATTTATCGTATTTTATTTATCTTATTTTATCGTATTTTATTTATCTTATTTTATCGTATTTTATTTATCGTATTTTATTTATCTTATTTTATCGTATTTTATTTATCGTATTTTATTTATCTTATTTTATCGTATTTTATTTATCTTATTTTATTTATCTTATTTAACCTTATTTTGGTTGTATTGCACCGTGGGTCGGAGACAATTATTTTTACAGTCTATGAGACAAACGCAATTTCGATTCCACTTTATGTCATATATATATATATATATATATAAAATATGGCATATTTTTAAATTGACAATAAAGTTGATTTTGAAAAAAAAAAAAAAAAAAAAAAAGAGTATGACACTTAGCATTCAGTAGCTAACGGTTTAGCATAACACAAATTAAGTCTTCCAGATATTTTTTGATAAAACGTTATGATATACAGTTACATGGAGACTGCTGTTTAAAGTAAAAGTAGTTTTACATCGAGAGAAATGTGTTTAACTAATAAAAGACGAGCTAACAACAAGCTAGCTGCCGTTAGCCGTTCAAAGTTCTGGCTGTGTCATGTTAGCATGCTAACGTTAGCAGCTAGCATGCTAACGTTAGCTCATGACGAAGCTACAGCTCGGAGCGACAAAGGCCGAAGACTCTACTCTTTATTTCTGTTAACTTAAACCATTTTAAACTTAACGCTTTCGCGCAGTTCGGCTCTAAAAGATCAGCTTAGTGTTGAACTCAAATGAAATAATAATAATAGTTTTTAAATACCTGATTTTGTACCAGAAGAGTTTCACAACAACTTTTTCTTCTCTTCTCGTTTAACGAAGCTCGCGGTGCGTTCGCGTGATGTGTCAACAATCGGAAAAATGTGTTTCCACTTGGAAACTTCACGTGAATGAAAAAGGTAGGATACAGGAGTACCAATGCTTTAAAAATGTCGAAGTAAAATTTGTTACTGGAGTTGCTAAATTGACAAATTAAATGTATTATAATATTGGTGTTCATTTTTATTAGACAGATAGAATCTTTATTATCATTGTATACAAGGACACAACGAAACTTTGTTAGCAGCAATCTTAAACAGCAGCGTTTACAAAAACAACAACAACAAAAATATATTTGAGGTGATATGAAAGAGAAATATGCAGAAGTGTCCAGAGCAATTGCTGTTCAGTGAATGAATGATAATATAAATAAATAAATCGACAGTTGTGGTGACTGAAATAATATATAGTTATTATTTTGCAGTGACTGATTAATTAAACAAATATAAATATAGAGATATAGTGCAAATAAGTGAAGTTATGGTGCAGTGACAGAGTATATACAGTTATTATTGTGCAGTGACTGGATGAGTAAATAGAAATAGAAATGAATATTAATTCATGTTCACCTAATATGTAAAGCTGTAACCGTTAGTTGTCACATACAGGGATATATTAAGGATTAATGTTTGCAGCGCAGATGTTGTTTCCATACTACACATTTAAAGTTGGTGTATATCTGAATAACAATAATGAGCATCATCATCTTCATAATAACTTTATTTATATAGCAACTTTAACGAACAGAGTCACAAAGTGCTTTACTTTACAGACAGATAACAACATAAACAATATACAAAAACAGATTACACAAAATCAAGTCGAAACAAATAGGTCTTAAGTTGCTTTTTAAAAGAGTCGACAGTGTCAACAAAGGCAGAGAGCTCCAAAGTGTTGGTGATCTCAGAAGCAAAGACTCCCCTTAGTCTTCAGTCTGGAGTGTGGGACCACCAGCAAACCCTGATCAGAGAGAGGACCAAGAGATTTCCTGGGAGCAAAGCTGACAAAGTTCTGTGAGTTGGGCCAGTGCCTGTCCATGCAGGGCTTTAAAAGCAAGAATCAATCAATCAATCAATTTTTATTTGTATAGCATCAACTCGTAACAAGTGTTATCTCGAGACACTTTACAAAAAGCAGGTAAAAGACCTTACTCATTGCTATATTACAAAGACCCATCCATCATGAGCACTTCAGCAAAGAATTTTGAATTTTCTCTAAAGTTAATGGGAAGCCACTGTGAAAAAAACTACAACAACAAAAAACAGAACTGAATATAAGAATATAAAACGGTTATGGGATGATAAAAACAAAAGCAAATCAGACAATTGAGATGAGATGAGATGAGATTCAACTTTATTGTCATTACACATATACAAGTACAGAGTAACGAAATGAGGTTTGGCATCTCACCAGAAGTGCAAATAAGCAGAAAGTGCAAGAGTCTGTGCTATGTACAGTAATTACAAAATTTACAGATGTAGACAAAAAAAGTGAATTATTAGGTAAATCTGGATGGCTGGATTAATGGGATGCAATAAATATAAATAAATGCTATAAATAAGTAATGCTACAAAAAAAATAATTATTATGAGGGTTAAGGCACAGAGAGGAAAAGAAACGCCTAGATTGCGCTAACACAGAATAAGGGCTCTCCTACTCCTAATCCCCCGATCACTAAATTAAATAGACAATCCGTGGAGCTCATGAATGCAGCATGCCCTGACTTCCGTGTTGATTTCCTGTACCGTCGTGCGCAGATGATGAGTGGGCGGGACTCTTCCCCCCCCCCCCCCGCCGGATTGACAGCTCGGTTCCCTCCCGGAGTAGCCGTTAGCTCAGCTCCGTGACTGCAGCTCTACCGGCGGAGGCTGTTTGAATGGTTTAGCGGCGGAAAGCGGAGCAGAACTGAACTGGGATGCTGTAGTGTTGTAAAACAAATAAAAAAATAACTTACGCTTCACTCAAAGGAAGAGAAGAAGAAGCTACGCTGCCGGAAGTTGGAAACAGGTAAGAAATGGTGCTCACATTAGACGGCTTTGCTGCCCTTGGATTAGTTAGCGAGCTAAGTGCTAACTGTCTTATTCGAACCAGACTCGGCTAACAAACATGGATGCTGTGTGTGTGTGTGTGTGTGTGTGTGTGTGTGTGTGTGTGTGTGTGTGTGTGTGTGTGTGTGTGTGTGTGTGTGTGTGTGTGTGTGTGTGTGTGTGTGTGTGTGTGTGTGTGTGTGTGTGTGTGTGTGTGTGTGTGTGTCCCTTTGATGCGGTGCCTGGAGATTATCCGCTTTACCCACGGTTTGATTCCCGAGCTGACCGGTATTTTCTAGTTCGGTTGCCGGGCACGAACCGAGAAGCCCGCCGGCAGAGCGACGTCAGGCGGACTTTGGATGCTCATCCTCGGGGTGTGATATCGATCATCATCGCTCCTAAACGTGCCTGATTTAGTGATTTAAAAACAGTGAGGCTGATTAATTGATTAAATTTATTTCAGACATATCAAATGAAATCAAAAATACAAAACAAAATGAAAAGCACGAAAATACAATAAACAAAAAACAATGTTCAAATTATTTCACAATAAAAGAAAAAGAAAATAACATATATTCAGTTGATATGCCTGAAAAGGAGTAGGAAGAAGTATAAAACTTATTTAATCCTACCCCTTTTCCACAGCTCAATAATTAATATTTATTAAATTAAATTAACTTCCTGTGTTCCTTATAATCTCTCTATATACAATCTATCTATATTACTATATTTATGATACTATATTTGATATTTACAATCCAATGATTTTTCATACATATATACAACTTGATATACTATGATCTTTTATAATTTATATATTTATACAATCCATATATCTATATATACATATCTATTTGTACAATTTGATGTACTGTATTTACATTTTATATATTTCTACAATCCTTATATCTTTACAGTTTGGTACAGTATGTTTACAATTATACATTTAATACAATCTATATATATATATATACATTTAATACATTTAATACAATCTATATATATATATATATATATATATATATATCATCACAGGATAAATCCGGTGTTGTGTCGAGAAATACATCCCTGCAGAGAATAGCATGCACCTCGCAGAAGTGTTAGAAAACGGTATAAATCGTCTTCCTGTAGGCAAATATGTGATGACAAAGTATGTGAAGTTTATACTTAACAAACGTTAAGAGTCCGTATTGTTCTGTAGACTCAGTAGAAGACGCATTCTCTGTAGCCTGCGTAAATATGACCTGCAAACAGTGTTTGACTCCAGAGTTTGTGAAGAGGAAATTTAAGGGTGGATGCAAAATAAGGCAGCACAGTATTTTAAGGTTGAATGCTTAAATTCGGCATTGTAGAAGTTGCGTTTGCCATATTTTGAATAGTCCTGCAAGGTGCGCATGCAATTCTCGGCAGGGATGCATTTCTCAACATAACACCTGATTTGCAGTCTGTGTGGCCGTGTGTGCTCGCCTCTTGGAAGCGTTTCGGAGACAGGTGCAACTTTTTCCTGTACATGTTGGTTAAATAGCACGTCTGCAGAATAACCAGGCTGTTTAGGATCAATAGCTAAGTGGTCTGAAATATTTCCATTGTGCGGGACTGTTCCTATTATTGGTGTGCTTGCGACTAGTGAATCTGAAATAGCTGGAGGAGAGGCTCTGCCTTTTTCTGGAGTGGCAGATGGTGTTACTCACTGGCTGTGTGTGAGTCTGTGTGACTGTGCATGCATGTTAATGTTAATGGACAACATTCTCATGATATAAAATACTTAATCACACAGATGCAGAAAAAGGCTCTGATCAGGCAGCGGTTATGGTCACGTTTCACTTTAACTGTGATTTTGATCATCAAAGTTTCGCAACATGTTCCATCCAGAACTTTTTTGGGGGGTCATTGGACCAAAAATGATGCATTATGCATTTGGGGTGTTAAAGGTATTATTGTTTTGGTTTGCTGATCAGTTTTGAAAGTCATTCCTTTGTTGGTGCAATTTGAGTGAATTCCATTTTATGACAGATTGTGGATTAGCCTGTACGATAGGAGAAAAATATATATGATGTGCAATAACTTTGTTCAATATTCTGATAACAATATGATTTCTGAGAAATAAACAGAAATACAGAGAGAATATTAGCTGTAACTCAACGTTTCTCGCTCTCTGCTGTTCTCCATGTTGTACAGAACCCCTGTGTTTAAACACAACACCTATAAATCCAAAATAAATCCTTTAAAGAACATGTTTTTTCTCTGCACTTAATTGCCAATAAGTCAATCAATCAATCAAGCTTTATTTATATAGCTTATAGCACATAGCATACAAATCAGATGCAATTCAAAGTGCTTTACAGTGTCTTAAAAACATGAAGATAAAAAACAAAAAATAGTGACAAAACCTGGTGTGGTATCATAATGGTGCCGCTGTATTCACTCAGCCAGACAGTTCAGTATGTTTAAAGTCCTTTTAGTTCAGCCTTAGGCCAAACTAAACTTAAGCAGTAACAGATCACATGTTATCAGGTTTAATGCACGATGTTAATACTGATAGTTTCACTGACTTTGAAGCACGACCCTCTACAAACGTCATGTCTGAATCAGCTTTTTTCTAGGGCATGTCCAGGAAGCGTTTCACCAAATCATGTCATTTTTTCTGACTCAGCTGGGGTCTTTAGGGTGTGAGCGGGGGGCTGGCAATGTTGGATGATATCACCAGGATGATCTCTGGTGGACGCGGTCATCAGTGAGTCAGAGAGAAGCAGGCCAGTCACATCAAATCAGGTTACACCTCAACAACAGAGCAGCAGTAGTAGGTCAGAGGGGAGATTATCATCGCTGCCACTCTGCAGACACACTCGGATCTAAACATGGACCAATGACATATAATATAACTAAAATTTGATTTATTTCTTACCCATGTTGTTGAGATTGTCAAGTATTTACAATATCACAAAGCAGATATTACCAAATGAAACGTCTGCAGCTGCAATGCCGAGTTTATTTGCAGATTTTATTATTTTTAGGTGATCCCTTTTCATGCACTTATTAGACATTTGACGTTCGATACTACAAGAAAATCAACAAATCCTCATTTAAGTAGCTTCTACCACAGAACATGTTGAGTTTTAGCCTGTTGTTGATTAAGAGTCTTATAGTTTGAGCTCCATTAAAACCATTTTAGACAAATTTAAAGCGCATATATTTAATAAGCCTAATGCAAAATCTGATCGATGGATTATGAAGTACTAATAACAGTTGGTAATGCATTGGCATGTGTATACTTTCAAGCAGTTCACAAACGCTACAAGGACGGATTTCACTTTTATTTTCAGTGTTTAATAAAAACTTGATTAACGATAACTGCACAGCATGTTCATCCTTAAACTTGTACTCGCTGTGGTGAAGTGTTTCCTGCCAGAGTGTCTCTTCATGACCGTGAAAACCTAAAATTATCCCCCAGCTGGGAGCGCTCCTTTGGCTCCCTGGTATTTGGTTTTGATATTTGTATCCTCGTGTAGAAGTGTGACCGGGTTCGTATTCACTCGCTGACATTAGAATCAGAAAAGAGAAGATGACTATTACAGGATCTGAGCTCCACAGAAGAACCACTCGACTCATGAAAGATTTATCCTCATTTTCCAGACCAATTAATGAGCCAGAGACCAGCCAAGTTAAGTGTATTTTTATACCTCAGATTCTTATTCCAAATGTAGTTTAAACAAACAAGTATTTCTTAGAGAAAGTAGAAAGTAGAAAGTCCTCAGATGGGGGGAACTAAACGCTGATGTTGTACTTCTTGTCACACACAAGTCAGTGACATAACAGGAAGATGTTAAAGTCAGGGTTGGTCATTGTCTCCAGAAACACTTTTTCAGATTTTGGTTGAAATTGTTTTTAGGTCCTGACAGACATTAATAACTCATGTTCTCTGAAAAAGGAACAAAGAAAATCGGTCATCTGTATCAGTTTGTAAGTCTGTAAAAACTTCGACCAATGTCTGCCAAGAGGTACCAATCTGATGAACCAATCACACGCCTCCCTGTCTCCCTGCTCGTTCTCTACCCCGTCACCGATGACAGCGTTTACGCGTTGAGTTTATCGTTGGCCGTTGTGATTAGTAAAATAGTCTCTGACTTTTTTTTACATGTATTGTGATAAAGTTTACTTGCAGCTGAATGAGACGATGTAGTTTCTACACAATGCAAGCAATGAGCTGCCTTGGTGTTAATTGAATAATGGTTAAAGGTTTAGAAAAAAAAATCCTAGTTATGCATGTTGCAGATTTTTAAGGGCCCACCTGACTTAGTCCTTTATGTTCCCATTATAAGTACTAAAGCATCTGTTTGGTTCTAACTTTGAATGTATCTGTTGGTCATAATTAGCAGCTTGCACAGACGACCTGTAACAACATAATTGGCATTGGACAGTCTGGTTAAAATATACCAAGTCATAGAAAAGAGAACAGTGCAGCCTCAGTTTTCTGATTTGTGTAAATGAATATGTGCTGCATTTGAGTAGGATTAGGACAGATTTTTTAATACAAAGGGTCCTGAGTCACGAGTAAATCATTACAGTTATAATCCTGGGTGCATGGTCGAATGCAGGCCTCCTCCCTATATGCTCAAGACATGAAAATCTGTTTGATAACCACCAACAGCAACATTTTGTAAAGTCTGAGCAGGGCTGGCAAAACTTTCCATCGGCTAAATTTTGCCAATAATCTGGAGCTTAAACACTCAAACATCTTGTTTATTTTTTATTTGCTTAACCGGCTTCTCGATTGGGGAGAATTACCGCCCAACACCTTTATAAAATCTTTCAAATTGAAGCCAATCAAGAAAAATGGTGCAATTTAAAGAACAACTTTATCTTGTTGTTTGGATTAGAGTTAGTAAAGTTAAAGGAAGAATGTCGGACATTTTTGATCCAATAGATGTCGCCCTTGAGCACCAGCATGAAACAAACTGCTGTTTGGCCCCACCACAGCTA